TTTGGCCTTCCCGTTTGTCACCACTAGTGCTTGCACTAGTGGTGCTAATATTTTTGGCCGTTAAGATGTTGATCTTGACGGTGCACCTTGCATTTATTATTTTTTCCTCATGCAGTGCCGCGGTTTCTTCTTGGGACTTTCACATGTCCTCGCCACTTGTCCCGTCGGTGGTCCCCGACCCTTAGTCCCATCGGCGGTCCCCGACACTTAGTCCCGTCGGCAGTCCTCGACACTTAGTCTCGTCGACGGTCCCCGACACTTAGTCTCGTCGGCGGTCCCTGACACATTTCGCCACGGATGCCATTATTTTTACTTAGTCCCACGTGGCCCCGGGTGCCTTTCCCTGAGGTGTCCCATGCCCCTTGGGCGTCTTGTCGCCCCATAGCGATCCCTCTCCTTAGTCTTTCCTCGCGCCTTGTGTGTGTCGATCTCTTTGGTCGTGGACCTCCGCTCCGAGGCTCCCGTAGGTAGCCCCCACGTTGGCCCCTCATTTCCTGGCTTACCGCGGCTTCTGGCCGCCCACCTCTCCACTTCCTCATTTCCTTATTGTTGTCGCGCTGCAATTGCTAGTTCAAGGAGCCCTTTGACCTTAGCCTTATTGCATTCTGATGGCCCTCCCGACCTCCTGCTATGTTCTATGTGCCCCTGTTCTTGCGCTCACTCGCTTGCTGCCACTTAGTTTTGTCCCTCTGTGGTTCTCGTCCCAGGGCATTACTCCCTTCTGCGGCATAATCCTTTATCTCGTCTCACTCTGGATTTCTCTGTTGTGCACGGTTCGTCCATATTTGGCCTCTCGAGTGATGGAAAGTTATTCGGGACTCACCAGTCCTGACACATTCCCCCCACTCTTTCACGATGTCCTCATCTCGCACCAATCTCTTGTCAGTGAGTTTTGGAGGGATAGATGAAAGAGGGAGGTGAGATGTTACGGATGGTTAGTTTGTCAGGATCCGTTTTGTTCTTTTCCGATTTCTTTCTTGAAGTTTTCCTTAGCTTCTGCCCCTTGGGGTGGAGGAGGGTATGGGGAGTCGAAGGTTCTACAACTTGAACCAGGTTGCTCATTTCCGTCATAGCTCTGCCTCTTTATCTTCCCCTCAATCGAGACGCGAACTTCCTCTTCAGTCAACTTTGTATACCCAGCAGGGCAGCCCATAATTCTTTCAACTTCAGCAACATGAAGCAGACGAGGCTTTCCTTGCTTCATGCACTTAACTATTGGTATGCTGACTTTTATTCCCAGGGTGACAATTTGTTGTCATAACACAATTGGTTTTCTCATTTTATGCCTTAGCATTGTTGATAACAAATTGTAGGCAATTTTTTGGATGCGACTCAATGTCAGGCATTTGCTCCGAAAGGGAGATGTTCGTCCAGTACAACCGCCGTCTTTGCTGTGGTGATACCCACTTTGAATCAGCGAGCACAGGCACAACTCCTCTTAAGTGCTTCGTAACCTCAAATATATCTTCCCATTTCATTGAGAAAACATTATCGAGCAGAAACCATTTTGGTCTCGCCTCATTCATTACTCTTAGAGTTATAAAAGATAATCTACTTTTCGGCCTGTGCAATCCATGTTCTCCCGTCATTCTTTCCTCAGTCTCATGCTTAGTCAGTTCCCATGTATTTTTCCCATGTCATTTTGTCCAGCTTATATGTGTTATCCTCATTCGTCCTTTCTCGTATTCCAGGCTTTAAAATGCGTGTTACTCAGTCCTCTTATTCACATCTTGCTTCTGGCCTCTTGCCAGACCTCTCTCATACTTATGCAAAATCCATTATACCTGCATCTTTTTTCTGGGCGTCTTGCCAAACTTTTCCTTAGGTCTACGCAAAACCAATTTCACATATCTTTCTTTTCTGAACATCCTGCCAGACCTTCTCTCAAGCCCGTGCTAGGTCAAATACTCATCCATTTTTCTCCTGGACATCTTGCCAGATTTCTTCTCAAGCCCATGCGGAGTCATTCACGCATCTTTTCCTCAGTTGGGCCCCTTGCAAGACCTTTTCTCAAGCTCATGTAACGTCAATTACTCATCCGTTTCTCTTCAGGACATCTTGCCAGGCCTTTTCTCAAGCTTATGCAACGTCAATTATTCATCCGTTCTCGTCGGGACATCTTGCCAGGCCTTTTCTCAAGCCTGCGCAAAGTCAATTACTCATCCGTTTCTCTTCTGGATATCTTGCTAGACCTTTTCTCAAGTCTGCGCAAAGTCAATTACTCA